TAATTTATGTGGTCTTGAGTAGGGCTGTGGCGGTCACGAAATTTCGTCAGCCGGTAAATGTCAAGCAAATAACTGTCGGTCTCACGGTAATTGACCGTTAATTAACATAAACACATTTAGCATCTCCTGGCTTCCAAATATAGCCTACAAGCCATTTAAAAAAGTATAATAAATCCATGTATATATAAATATAGCCTACACCTTCACAATAAATCCATTATTTATTTTAGACAGGATTAAAGAAGCATGATATGAAGAAAATGTAGTCTATTTCAGAAGAAAATAATAGCATACTCTGACTTGTCCTTATTTTAGGTCCTGATGTGGCGGCTGTGGCTATGCCAAATGGCTGTGAGCTACACTAGTTCATTTAGCAGACAAGATTTGCTTATAATTCCGTGGCATTATTTTATAGTATGAAGAACACAATTGAACAAAGCTGAATAAAATATAAATATTTTCTCCAAATTATTTCAGGGAGTGCGCACATGCAGCTATTCTGTGTTGAGCGGTTAACAAAGAAATAGGTACTCCTATATGCTTAATTTAGCGTTATTAATGTAACTTTAGTTGTTCTACAAACCTTGGGCTATATGTTTTGATTTTTTTATGATGATTTGAAAAAAGTCATTTGAAAGGCATGAGCTTTGCTTAGATTTTTGCGCAGGCTGTACACACGCCAATAGTCTCTCATTCACAATTTGACAAGCACTTGAAAAATGCCTCGAATTTCATGGCAGCATCCCCTTTGTGGCCGTAATGCAATTGCGCACGTCCTTATCCATTTCCGAGATGCATATTGAAGATGTTGGAAGAACTGTCCACATTTACTTTGTCAGCCAACAAGATGAGTAGGCCTAACGAACAGCAAAAGCACTAGCCTATGTCAATCTACTATCCCCCATAGTACAAAAGTCGACCTATTCTATTCTGTGCGACAAATAAATATTCCAAACATAGTCTGGGACAGTTGTGGGATGCGATAGATCCCAAATTAATACAACCACTAGCATCAAAAAAACTTTTTTTATGCAATGTGGCTGACGCAACAGATCAGAACATTTAGCTTAAAATGTTGATAAACTATTAGGCTATTTCTTCACATTATAAGCACAGCAATGCGCACATGGTAGTAGGCTATAAGCGCAAATGTTCCATTAGCGGAAAACACCATTATTAAAAGTGACCATAAAAAATGCAATTATGCATGCAATGCTTTTATTATAAAGGTGCATTTTTATGGTGAAAATTATCTTCCCCAAACTTCAAACTCACGCGGTGCTTATACATTTGGGAGAACAACAGCCGACTGGTGAAAAATCGCGATGTCCTACTTATGCTCTGTAAGTGCTCTGGAAGGCTTGCAAATGATACAAGTAAATTATAAGTTATACTATCATTGTAACAAGTATTTGATACACTGGCGATTTTGCAGGTTGTCCTACTTACAAAGCATGTAGAGGTCTGTAATTTTTATCATAGGTACACTTCAACTGTGAGAGACGGAATCTAAAACAAAAATCCAGGAAAATCACATTGTATGATTTTTAAGTAATTAATTTGCATTTTATTGCATGACATAAGTATTTGATACATCAGAAAAGCAGAACTTCATTATTTGGTACAGAAACCTTTGTTTGCAATTACAGAGATCATACGTTTCCTGTAGGTCTTGACCAGGTTTGCACACACTGCAGCAGGGATTTTGGCCCACTCCTCCATACAGACCTTCTCCAGATCCTTCAGGTTTCGGGGCTGTCGCTGGGCAATACGGACTTTCAGCTCCCTCCAAAGATGTTCTATTGGGTTCAGGTCTGGAGACTGGCTAGGCCACTCCAGGACCTTGAGATGCTTCTTACGGAGCCACTCCTTAGTTGCCCTGGCTGTGTGTTCCGGGTCATTGTCATGCTGGAAGACCCAGCTACGACCCATCTTCAATGCTCTTACTGAGGGAAGGAGGTTGTTGGCCAAGATCTCGCGATACATGGCCCTATCCATCCTCCCCTCAATACGGAGTAGTCGTCCTGTCCCCTTTGCAGAAAAGCATCCCCAAAGAATGATGTTTCCACCTCCATGCTTCACGGTTGGGATGGTGTTCTTGGGGTTGTACTCATCCTTCTTCTTCCTCCAAACACGGCGAGTGGAGTTTAGACCAAAAAGCTCTATTTTTGTCTCATCAGACCACATGACCTTCTCCCAGTCCTCCTCTGGATCATCCAGATGGTCATTGGCAAACTTCAGACGGGCCTGGACATGCGCTGGTTTGAGCAGGGGGACCTTGCGTGCGCTGCAGGATTTTAATCCATGACTATTACTAATGGTTTTCTTTGAGACTGTGGTCCCAGCTCTCTTCAGGTCATTGACCAGGTCCTGCCGTGTAGTTCTGGGCTGATCCCTCACCTTCCTCATGATGGAAGGTGATGCCCCACGAGGTGAGATCTTGCATGGAGCCCCAGACCGAGGGTGATTGACCGTCATCTTGAACTTCTTCTATTTTCTAATAATTGCGCCAACAGTTGTTGCCTTCTCACCAAGCTGCTTGCCTATTGTCCTGTAGCCCATCCCAGCCTTGCGCAGGTCTACAATTGTATCCCTGATGTCCTTACACAGCTCTCTGGTCTTGGCCATTGTGGAGAGGTTGGAGTCTGTTTGATTGAGTGTGTGGACAGTTGTCTTTTATACAGGTAACGAGTTCAAACAGGTGCAGTTAATACAGGTAATGAGTGGAGAACAGGAGGGCTTCTTAAAGAAAAACTAACAGGTCTGTGAGAGCCGGAATTCCTACTGGTTGGTAGGTGATCAAATACTTATGTCATGCAATAAAATGCAAATTAATTACTTAAAAATCATACAATGTGACTTTCTGGATTTTTGTTTTAGGTTCCATCTCTCACAGTTGAAGTGTACCTATGATAAAAATTACAGACCTCTACATGCTTTGTAAGCAGGAAAACCTGCAAAATCGGCAGTGTATCAAATACTTGTTCTCCCCACTGTATATGCCATTTAGGCTCTATACCCCTTGTAAAGCAGATTAATGTGCTTAATTTTAATAAGTTATTTGGCCACTTTAGTTGTGATACAAACCTTATTAAAACATAGGCCTATGGGCTAGGCTACATGAGGTGTGCAACTATGATTCGTAAAAATCGCAAATCAAAAAGGCATTGTTTCTTATGCTGGACATCATTCACAAGTGATAATATATCATTCACAAGAGATAGGCTAATATTGTCACCCATCAGACTATTCTTGATTAATCTTGTCTTTACATATACTAAATAATATATGTGTGACATTTGTTTTGATTTAGAATGCACCATTATCATGCACCTGTATCGAAACAGGGGCAGCGGGAAAAAATACATGTCATCCATGCACTTAAATAACGAATGGAGGATGCTTTTCCCCGTGGCTTAATATTAGGAAAGATGAGGAATAAATATAGCAGGCCTAGCCTATAGAAAGCTGATGGGATCCTCCTCTTTCTATTAGCGGCCATCACTCGGTTTTCTCCCGCAATTGCATAGCCTATAGAAATGTTGCGCAACATCAGTTCATGGGCTCTCATTAAGTATTTGATTAGATTTTCAAAAACATTTGCATTGATGTCAGGGTGATTAGAGGGACAATAGAGTGCTGAGTACCTGGCAGTTAGCAAGTTTGGTAGGCTTCTAATGACCAGCAGCAGCATCAGAGCTTGGAGAAGCCTAATTACCGTGACTAAACGGTCATGTGGAATTTCATGACTCGTGACCGCCGGTGTGGTGGTAATACGGTCACCGCAACAGCCCTAGTCTTGAGTCGAGTCCATGGGCCCTTTGTTCAAATGGTAAGAAACTCAAGTAGAGTAAACTTAAGTGCAATAGAGCACAGCACAGTAAAGCACAGCATCATTATAGACGTCTATGTTTTGGCCAAAATAGATCTTGGAGGGTTGGAGCCACCCTGCTGGTTATGCATCTCAATATTCTACACTTTTTCCTGAAATGTGCACTTGCCCACTGTCTACATGTTGGTCCTCTGTAGCCCAGTTGGTAGAGCCTGGCGCATGCAACTTTCAAATGGAGATAGCCTCAATGGCGCTGCCCGGCTGTCACAGACGCCATAATGGCACAGATACAAAGATGAGACCTCTACCTATCTCTATGGTGTCAATTGTTTCAGTTGTGACCGTATGGGTTTGGACAATTTTGACTTATTTTGGACTTTAAAGAATCCCCATAGCTAACATATGGCTGGCTATGTTTCATTTGGGCAGATGTACATCCAAGAAAACATATTTCAATCTCAAAACCATACATTACACATTTCATGATATATTAGGATGTTTGGCAGTGACACTTCTTAAAAATACATGATACTTGCTCACTAATTTTCTCCAAAATGTTTGTAAACAGACTACTCACCACGTGGCAATGCTGGAGAGGGGTGCAATCCCATCACCTGGTGATATTTGTAGGGGTGTGGCTTAAGGGACATTCATTCTACAGTCTTTTAATGTGTGTGTGTGTGTGTGTGTGTTTTGGCAGTGACATCAAAAGGCTGGACAGCATTTTTTTTTTTTAAGGATGTTAAAAAATAAACAAAACTACTAATTAGATCAGTATCTTTCAATGTAATAATAGAACAACTCAATATGTTCTATTGAAATAGTGTTACAAAAAATACAAAAATGATCAATTGCTTTATTTTCAAACATTAAGTTTAGGAGTCATGGTTTGGGATAGCCACCTCAATAGAAATGTGTATAAACAATGATTTTGTACTATATTCATTTAACAATATGTTTGTTATTGCTTTGGATTGAATTAGAACATACTGTATGATGATGTAAATAAATGTCCTAAATTTGGAGACTTAACTGTTTAAAAAATATTTTTTTTTTCTGGAGTGGGACTACAATTTGCACCATTTCTGTATAATCACCCATATAGGGAATAGGGTGGCATTTGGGATGCAGAAGGTTTTGTTTGATAGAAATGTCAAAGGTTACTCACCTTCTCCAAGTCCAGCTCCTTCAGCAGAATGCTGGCGTTCTTGTTGGCCTCCGCTGCCTGCTGATCTTTGGCTTTGACAATGGTCTCCATGCACTGATTACATTTCTTCAGCAAGTCCTAGGACGAGTACGAAACAAGCTTTACCATTGGACTTAGCCCACACTTTCAGAGCACCAAAGTGTTTTACCCATGTTTATCCCTTTTCTCATTTTCAATTAATTTGTTGCCTTGTCCGTTTTATCTTACCTTGTCTGCGATGGTGGCAATGTATCTCATGCACTCGATGTCCGAAGGGAACTGGTTGACCTCCTTCACCAGGTACTGCACCACCTTCACATGGCCCTATAAGACAGAGGTCAGAGGTCAACCTCCAGGGATTCTTATACACACACTTCCACTTTAACGCACCACCAGGGTCATTAGCTAAGTGCAGGAAAGGGGAGCATGTCCTAGAGTGCCAAAGGGTCAGATATCAGATATTCAACTATGAGTCAATATCAGAGCAAATTTACTTAAAGGAGCATGTCACACTAGTGTTTATCATAGTATAGTTTCATTTGTGTGGTGGTGGTGGTGGTTGTGGTGGTGGTGGTGGTTGTGGGGGCGGGTGTTGTACCTTGCGAAAGGCAGCCATGAGCGGTGTGATCTTGCGGTTGTCTGCTGCATCGACATCGGCCCCGGCCTGCACCAACAGCTGCACCACGTCAAAATGCCCACCGTTGGCTGCCAGCCACAGGGGCGTGTTCCCCTTCTTATTACGCACGTCGATGTGAGCACCTCTGAGGAGGAAGACGACAGGGTGGTTAGAAGAAAAAAAAGACTAGAAGAATGAAAATGTCTCAATCTCATATTGTAGGCAGAGGACTGTAACAGTAATTACCTGTTGATGAGGAGCTCACAGAACTTGTAGTGGCCCTTGTCTGCAGCAATGGTGAGCGCCGTGTCTCGGGAGGAGGGGACAGGTGGGGCGTTGACGTCAGCACTCTTGTCCAGCAGCACGCGTCCCACCTCAGCATAGCCACCCGACGCAGCCTCCATGAGGGGAGTCAGACCAGTCTAAGAGAGAATGTGTAATAAGTCAGTGACATACTCCACTAAACAGACACCACACTGTCTAACACCAAACCTCATTCCTAATGTCTTTGACTCTAGCTCACGTAACATGACGACATGTCAGGTTCAGCCGATGGCAGCTGCTCTCACCTTGGCACGGTGCTCCACGTTGGCCTTGCGGTCCAGCAGCAGACTGACCACCTCCGCCCGTCCCTGGAAGCAGGCCAGGGTCAGTGCCGTGTTGCGGTTGGTCTCGATCTGAGCATTGATGTCCGAGCCCATGTCCAGCAGTAGCTTGACCGCAGGGACGTGGCCGTTCATGGCCGCCAGCATAAGAGGAGAGATACCCAGCTTGCTCCCAGTCCTGAAGGAAACAGATACACAATGAGAGAGGAACAGACAGGGAGTGGGGAAAGCAAGGGATAAGGGCTGATTACACAAACAGTTCAAGTGGAACTGACAGCGTTTTAACTACTTTGCTGATATGAAACAAAATCATAATATCAGTCAAAAATATAAAAATTCCCAGTTTATGCATCAAAACCAACGTCATAAGAGGTTTTAAAAATAGGTTCTATTTGACAAAAAATTACATGACGTACATTAAGGCATTGTTGGCAGAACAGATGGATGCAGTTCAATGCATGATTCATATAATTCACCAATACATTTCTTGGTAGCCCAAAAAAAATCGCTATCTGGTTATAAATCACAACTGGCCTGGTACATTGTTTGCTGCCACAACCCATTCAGGATGCACCATTTCAGTTTCAATTACTGAATATTTTGAACAAAAACAGACGACTGTAACTAAGGCTGGGAATGTCTATACAGTCAAACTAGCATGGGCATGATCACAAGTCAGCCATAACGTGGCTAATAGGCTAGCGCACGTGTCAAACACAAGGCCCGCAGGCCGAATAGGACACACAAGCAAGTATAAACGAGTCAACAGATGAGTCATCTACTTTATGAAATTACAGCCTGATACGCTCGCATCAGAGAATTAAACTTCAATTGCGCTGCTTTCGTGTGTCCCGTCTACAGCGCGCAGCAGGGACAGTGTACAGACACATGCCACAGTCCTAGCTAGGCTACTAAAATGTTGCTGTCTGGCTTCGGTTTTTAAAACTTGACAATTAACACCCAAAAACTAAATCTGCTACAAAATGCCATGCAAGAGAAAAACATGTAGGCCTATTACAGCAACATTTGAGCAGGAGCCTAGGCTGGCTACTCAACTACAAAAGCTATAGTTTGAGTGCACCATACAGCAATGCTGCATTCAACCACACCAGTGATTCATGCAGTGCAAAAACCTATAGCTACATTTTTGTTATTTGGAGTTATTAAATATGTTTTGATTAGGGTTGCAACATATTATGCACATCTGCAAGCAGCAAAGGCTGGCCAAATAGTTGTGTATTTTGTTTTAATATGTTAAAATGCTACAGTGGGGAGAACAAGTATTTGATACACTGCCGATTTTGCAGGTTTTCCTACTTAAAAAGCATGTAGATGTCTGTAATTTTTATCATAGGTACACATCAACTGTGAGAGACGGAATCTAAAACAAAAATCCAGAAAATCACATTGTATGATTTGTAAGGAATTAATTTGCATGACATAAGTATTTGATCACCTACCAACCAGTAAGAATTCCGGCTCTCACAGACCTGTTAGTTTTTCTTTAAGAAGCCCTCCTGTTCTCCACTCATTACCTGTATTAACTGCACCTGTTTGAACTCGTTACCTGTATAAAAGACACCTGTACACACACTCAATCAAACAGACTCCAACCTCTCCACAATGGCCAAGACCAGAGAGCTGTGTAAGGACATCAGGGATAAAATTGTAGACCTGCACAAGGCTGGGATGGGCTACAGGACAATAGGCAAGCAGCTTGGTGAGAAGTCAACAACTGTTGGCGCAATTATTAGAAAATTGAAGAAGTTCAAGATGACGGTCAATCGCCCTCGGTCTGGGGCTCCATGCAAGATCTCACCTCATGGGTCATCAATGATCATGAGGAAGGTGAGGGATCAGCCCAGAACTACACGGCAGGACCTGGTCAATGACCTGAAGAGAGCTGGGACCACAGTCTCAAAGAAAACCATTAGTAACACACTATGCCGTCATGGATTAAAATCCTGCAGCGCACGCAAGGTCCCCCTGCTCAAGCCAGCGCATGTCCAGGCCCGTCTGAAGTTTGCCAATGACCATCTGGATGATCCAGAGGAGGAATGGGAGAAGGTCATGTGGTCTGATGAGACAAAAATAGAGCTTTTTGGTCTAAACTCCACTCGCCGTGTTTGGAGGAAGAAGAAGGATGAGTACAACCCCAAGAACACCATCCCAACCGTGAAGCTTGGAGGTGGAAACATCATTCTTTGGGGATGCTTTTCTGCAAAGGGGACAGGACGACTGCACCGTATTGAGGGGAGGATGGATGGGGCCATGTATCGCGAGATCTTGGCCAACAACCTCCTTCCCTCAGTAAGAGCATTGAAAATGGGTCGTGGCTGGGTCTTCCAGCATGACAACGACCCGAAACAGACAGCCAGGGCAACTAAGGAGTGGCTCTGTAAGAAGCATCTCAAGGTCCTGGAGTGGCCTAGCCAGTCTCCAGACCTGAACCCAATAGAAAATCTTTGGAGGGAGTTGAAAGTCCGTATTGCCCAGCGACAGCCCCGAAACCTGAAGGATCTGGAGAAGGTCTGTATGGCGGAGTGGGCCAAAGTCCCTGCTGCAGTGTGTGCAAACCTGGTCAAGACCTACAGGAAACGTATGATCTCTGTAATTGCAAACAAAGGTTTCTGTACCAAATATTAAGTTCTGCTTTTCTGATGTATCAAATACTTATGTCATGCAATAAAATGCAAATTAATTACTTAAAAATCATACAATGTGATTTTCTGGATTTTTGTTTTAGATTCCGTCTCTCACAGTTGAAATGTACCTATGATAAAAATTACAGACCTCTACATGCTTTGTAAGTAAGAAAACCTGCAAAATCGGCAGTGTATCAAATACTTGTTCTCCCCACTGTATATACAGCATCCTATGTACATAAGTGGACATTATATAAGGGCCATATTTTTTCTAATAAAACAATGGCTAGTTTGGGTCGCAGTTCCACGTTTCTTTTACAAAAACAAATAGGCTATGTCTGGCCCGCAAAATTTGTTGTGTTTTTTCTATATGGTCAGTGCGCTGATTGAGTTTGACGCCCCTGGGCTAGCGTATCTATTTATGTAGCTATTTATTTAGCGGGTGAAAAACACGGCACCTAACGCTAGCTAGCTAGGTGGTAGGAGGATGTCATGTCATTGGAGGAGTGGGTGAGTGACCGACTTTTCCCCCGCATATAGATTTTCGCTTTTTTTGGCTACAAGCTAGAGATGCTGCAGGTGTCATTTGGTTAGCTAGCAAGAAATGTGAATCACTTTGGTAGCTAGCTAGCTATACTGAACTTGAACGACTTATCCACAGTTAGCATATCTCTTTGTTGTCAATCAAATGTATTTGGCATTGATCAAAGATGTGGGCAGGCAAGTTCCCATTCAGTTGTCAAAACATGGGTTGGGACAAGCATGCAATGGCAGGCAAGCTGCAGAAGGACGAGCAGGCTACTATTCCCCATTGTTTATGAGTGCAATTTTGACAGACAACTAACTGAAAAAGTTTGAGAGGGTTTATCAAATGTTCCCTTGTTAGATTTGAGCTCATTTTGCTCTGGCTAGCATTAGTTGTTGATCTTGTTGTTGATGTGCATAGGCAACTGAGGGGGAGAGAGCCTACCTTTTCATGGTTGTTTGATAAATAGGATTGTGAAGTTCCAAAATATAAGACTCATGGTATTTACATATTTGCAGAAATCCATTCAGGTGTATTTTGTGGCTTTTGGCGAATGCATTCTAAAGATCTAAAGTTGCGCTATTGCTACAGCCTGTAAACACACAGTCCAGTTCAAAGTGAATGATGGCAGCCCGTGGGGCATATGGCTTATTTGCATATAGGCCTACTGTAGCTCTGATTGGCTATGGTGCACCGGCATAAGTAGATTGTGTCTATTAATTGTCCAAACGCACGGCCGCTTACAAATGCCTTACTATACGTCATTCCCAAACATTCTATGAATTTATAAAATCATGAAAATGACCATATCTAAGTGCTCGCTTGTCAGAAAATGTAAAAGAAAGGTGTCACATTCTTCCTGGGAGTGTATATCTTCCGATTTCATGTTGCTAAAATGCTGTACGTTCCATTTCAAGATTGGGATGAAGGCAGAGGTGCAGCCTGCACATGGAAACAAACTGTGGGGGATGGCTGGATGTGGATACCTGGAGTTGATTTCAGCGCCAGCGTTGAGGAGGATCTTGATGATGTTGACGTAGCCTCCTGAGGCGGCTAGGCTGAGAGGAGTGTAGTCTGAAACGTTACGGTGCTCCTTGTTGGCCCCGCGCAGCAGCAATAGCTCTACCACCTGGAAGGAATGGACCACAGGTTAGTCAATCCACAGAACACTTCTATTGTTTTTCTAAACGTAAGGAGTGTTAAACTGGTTCAGACAGCGAGTTGGTGTCTGTCTGGTTGTCCAGACTGTTGTTTCTCTATGGGGTGGATCAATCGGGCTGTCTATGGTCTGAGAGACGCCTGCTCTGATCACACTACTGAACACTTCTGAGCTTGATCTATCCATCAGCTCCCTTGTATTAGTTTAGCAACCAGCAGTTTGGGCCAGTTAAGAGCCCATAGTTCAGCCATTTTACTTGGTCTCTGATCCTATAACAAGTCACTAATGTGGTGTTAGGAGAAGAGTTTGTTTGTGATCCTATAAGAAGTCACTGATGTGGTGTTTAGTGCAGAGCAGCACCTCTTGTCTTCCTCCAGAGCAGGCCAGGGAGAGAGGTGTGTCTTTGGTTCTCTCTGACTGGGCTTCGATGTCCCCTCCTTTATCCAGCAGGATCTCCACCACACCAACATGACCCGCTGTAGCAGACAGGATCAGAGGGGTGAAACCTGGGGACAGAGAGAGACAGACACTTAGATTACTCTCAAACATCAACATACACAGATATGGACTCCCATTTCTACACACAAATTATCAAGTTTTCTGAAAATTTACACATTTAAAAAATAAAGCTACAACAAACATTTAAAAGACAAAGTATGGAGCGTGTACCCTTCTTATCCCGGTGCTCGATGTTAGCCCCGCGAGCGATGAGCACCGACACCAGCTCCTCATGGCCACCTGCACAGGCCAGCGTCAGAGCTGTGTCGTGATTGCTCTCCGTCTGAGAAGAGATAAAGTCAGCGTCATTTTCCTGATCAGAAACAAGACGTATTACTATTACCAGCTTAAGCAGTGTGTATTATCATTGTGCATTATTAGATAAGTGGTGTGACGTACGTGTGCGTCGATGTCCACAGAGGGGTAGAGGGGGAGCATGGACGGTGGGGACCATGCGTCGATTGGCGTCTGTGCTGTGGGTGTGGGCGAGGTTGTAGTGTTCAACACAGGCACTCTGCTGCTCACCGCTGCTGAGAGGGAGAGAGTTGTTAAAACCTCTTGAGCTGACAGCACTTTCGCACTGTTTCGCTACGGTGTGCATCACTCTAGCAAGAGGGCAATATTTTGAATAATGTTGTAGTGTTCCCCCCCAGAATACACTGCAACTGCCTCTGCAACGCTGCAAAGCGTTCCATTGGAAATGGATGTACTTCTGGTGTACCAAAACGCAATAACACTATCGGTGTGATCGAGGCGTAAGCACTACCCACTTGAGGAAGCTGGGTGGTGCAGTCTCTTTAGATGGTGTTATGATGCAGCTGACCACCGAAGGGAGCCAAAACTACGTTTATTCAACAGAGGTGATTTAGAAGCTCTAGGGTTTTTTTTGTATTCTGACTTATAAAACAGTGGTAAATGAATAAAATAAGTAATATAAACATAATATCAGTAATTCAAGTGCCTGATTTCAAGCACTGTAGTCTTAAGAGGTTTTAATAAGACAACTTACAAATTATAACCAAATCATATTACATTAGAATTGAAGGATCAAAACCATTTGTGAATTCTGTTGAAAATGTACTGAAACTGAAACTTGAGTATTAAGGAAACGGATGGGGGATGGAACACTGTCACTATTTATAGTTATTAGAAGGCCTAAGGAAAGAAATGAACCAGTGTCTACAGTAACTGCTCACACACCTGCCATGATATCGTCCAGCGTGTCAGTGAGCGTCTGTGCGGGGGTGGCCACCATGAGTCCGTCAGGGGCCTGGGTGAGAACGCCCGGTCCCAGGCCTGTCAAATGCTGCCCCAGCATCTGCTGCTGACTCACCATCACCCTCTGCAGGTCAGGGCTGTCGAGGTAGTCTGCCGTGCTGAAGTCTGTGGATTGCTGGGTGGCCAGGGACTGGATGGGTACGAAGCTGGCCTGCAGGCCTTGGGTATGAGGAGGAGAGGGTGGCGGGGGCTGTTGGGCCTCTCTGTACAGGATGGTGTCCACCTGGGGCAGCTTGGCGTAGTCCACCTCTTCATCCTCCTCGTCCTCATCATCTTCATCATAGTCATCCTCCTGTTCCTCAGTAGCTGGGTGGGGCTGCCCATCGTGGTGGTGGTTGCCCTCCCCGTCCCCCTCGGTGTTGGAGCCCGGCTGTGCAGCCTGCATTGGCAGGGGGGTGCCGAGCTTCTCCACCCCTGCCGCCTGAACCGGCTGCCCCGGGTCGTCCTTCAGGCCTTTGGCCTCCAGGTACTCTTTGGTGAACTGCTGCTGCGTCTTGAACTGCAGCTGGCGCTCCACCTTCTGCAGCTCCTTGAGGATCTTCTTCTTCTTCTGTACCTGCTCCTCGCGGCTTTTCTTCAGCTCCTCGATCTTGTCTTTGGTGAGCGGCTCTCCCTGGATCAGCTCTAGAGACTGCAGCTGGGCCTTCTCTATGGCGGAAATCCTCTGGCCCAGCTCGTTCAGCTTGCCCTCCGTCTCCTCCACAATGCATTCCAGGGGCTGGTACGGGTGGAAGGGGGGCAGGTGGTCTGCATCTGGACTTCCTGCAGCGACGGGGCTACCCAGTAGGGGGCTCAGCCTCTGCTTGGAGCTGCCTGAGAACCACACAGGACAACACAACCAGTTAGCTACGAGGTTGTACCATACAGTATTACAGTAATCATTACCTGTAACGCTTTGATGCCTTGTGCAGTCAACTGGTGTCTAGTGGTCTTCTTGGCCAGTGAATTAACAAAGTTAGACATGTATATACTGTTAACACACGTTGTATGAACTAACTTTTTGTGATGAGAGGTGGAGGCGTTGTGATGTTGGAGGGGACCCTGTCTGGTTCTTGTGGTGGCACCACCATGGCCAGGGCTTGGAATGGAACTCGTGGAGCCTGTTTGGGTAAGGTAAGGTGTAAGATACTATGAAAGTATAATTTGGTTTCAACGTATAAAGGTGTATATGGTATCAATACAACGTCATCCAGACAAATAAACAAACATGTTTGTAGAAGTAGATGTTTGTCTATAGGCAAGTCAGCAGTCTACCTGAGCGGTGTCATGGGAGGTGGGTGTGAGCTGAGACAGGTCAGGCGTGGGGACCGACAGGATGTTGTTGGGGTAGTCGAGGAGGTAGGACACCACGATGGTGTGACCACCCTTAGCAGCTTCGATCAGCATGGTGGAGCCATCCTATGTGAAAAATGTACAAAACACACATATGTTACCATTAGTCTCAGGTACTTGGGAGAAGTTACAATTTATCTCAAGACAATTGAAAAAGACAAAGAAACAATTGTGTTCATAGGCGTTACAGAAAGGTTTGTGTTTACAGGAGTCCATTATAATGCTTGCAGTGTGGCACTCTTAACATCAGATTTCTCTCCTGAGACCTTTCTGCCCAGGAGATTGGGACAGGTGACTCACCTTCAGTCTGTGTGTGGGGTCGGCCCCGTGGGCCAGCAGCAGCTCCACCACGGCCAAGTGGCCCCCAGCGCAGGCCAGAGACACCACTGTGTGATCGTTGTTGGCCGTCGCCCTGTTAACATTAGCACCTGGTGGAGGGAGGGAGACAAAGGACAGGGTCAATCTGAGCCCACTTGAAAACAGTAGCAACGCCATGATGTGTTAAGATGAATGTATCATTGTGTCTGTCTGATGAGCAATGTGTCTGTGGCTCAAGTTAAAACTATGTCAGATGTCTGGTGTGTGGTGTTATACAGAGAGGAGGCAGAGGCACACCTTTGCTGATTAGGAACTGTACAGTACACAGGTGTCCCGCTCTGGCTGCTTTCATCAGAGGGGTCCTGCCCCCCTCCGATTCATGTTCCTGCAAGACAAACAGAAAGACAGAAGTGAGTAAAGAGGGCACAAAGAAACACATGAGCCTATTCAAGCGGCAATGTATACAGCACTTAAACAGCACCCAGGCTACATCACGAATGGCACCTGATTCCCTATAAAGGGAATATCTTGGGGTGCCAAACGGGAAGCACTCCCCCATTTATGTAAACGTGTGAACAACTCATGCAAAAAGGCTATGTATTGACATGAACTGTTTCTCCCATCGATGAAGGCAGGCCAGAGGGTCGGGGAGAGGTCTCACCAGGTCAGCCCCCGTCTGCAGCAGCACGTCAGCCACGTCTGTGTGTCCGTTCTCACAGGCGTACGTCAGCGCCGTGTCTCCCGTCGCCGTGGTGGCGTGGACATTTGCTCCTTAGGACAAGAGCACAGGTGTCAAATTACACACTGAGGGTTGTGTGTGAGATCAGGATAACAAAGACACATTTGAGGACATTTTTGTTTTAGAGATAGCCAAGTCAATAATGTATGAATTCAGGTTGGTAGAGTCCTGATAGGAGAGGTTCTGCTCACCTGCAGCCAGCAGGTATTTGACCAGCTCCAGGTGTCCCTCCTGTGCAGCCTCCATGAGAGGCGTGGAGCAGCCCAGCTCGATGTCGGCCCCGGCCTTGATGAGGAAGTCAGCCACCTCCAGGAAGCCACCACAGCAGGCGAGTGTCAGGGCCGTCTCCTGGGTCTCCTCTGTCTGAGCGTTGATGTTGGCACCTGCAGACACCAGAGACAATATAGACAACAGAGGGACGAGGATCAATCAGATGATTTGGCTGGGAACAAATCGTCGCAGTTCTTGACACTCAAACCGGTGCGCCTGGCACCTACTACCATACCCTGTTCAAAGGCACTTAAATCTTGTCTTGCCCATTCACCCTCTGAATGGCACACATACACAATCCATGTTGCAAATGTCTCAATGCTTAAAAATCATTCTTTAACCTGTCTCTTCCACTTCATCTACACTGATTGAAATAGATTTAACAAGTGACATCAATAAGGGACCATAGTTTTCACCTGGATTCACCTGGTCAGTCTCATGGAAAAAATAATACTACAGCAACAGGATTTAAACGTTTAGTCCATAATGTTGCTTGATCTGTGTTTAGGCTATTAGCTGGCCAAAAGTAGGATACCTGAAAGTGCAATACTGTTAATATAACTGTGTTAGTGTGGGTTTTCAGTGGATTTATGGAAATCACAAAGCTCATCTGCATTTCCTGCGGTGCAGGAAAATTATCAGCAACAAAAAGTGATCAAATAAAGATCCTACATCTGTAGTAGGGAAAATCTCTAAACAGAAGCCTGTTTAATTCAAACAGAGAGAGAGAAGTCCGTACCTTGTGCCAAAAGCAGCGCTACCATCTCCTCGTGGCCCTCTCGTGCAGCCTCCATGAGTGGAGTGTATCCCTCATCGTTAACCTCCTCCAGGTTGGCGCCCCTCTCGATCAGCAGGGCAGCTAGCTCTACATGTCCCCCACAGGCCGCCAGCGTCAGCGGAGACTCAAACGAGTCAGCGGGCATGTTGACCTGCGCCCCGCTGTCCAACAGCAGACGCGCCACCTCCACATGCCCGTCCTGAAGAGGGGCAGAGACAACAGGGTTCACCATCGTGCACAGGCATACCGCACCTTGTTCAATTTAATAGTGCTGAACAACCAAAATGTGTTCATGTGTATGTGTGTATTCACCATACAAGCCTCCATGAGCGCTGTGTGCATCTCATCTGTCTTGTGCTCTTGGTCGGCCCCAGCCTCTAACAAGAAGCGCACCATGTCCAGGTGCCCTGTGGGGACAAGAGGAACAGCTCTGGGTGCTTCTTCCCTACAATTACAATTACTGCTTAACATTCATTATTAACTTCAGTCCCGGATATCTAGATGAAGACGCCCGATCTCTCTGATGCATGGACAAGGGGTTCATTGTCCAGGACGTACCTTTATAGCAGGCCAGCGTAAGTGCACTTTCCTTGAACTCGTTGGAGTGCGTGTTGATTCCAGCCCCGTACTCCAGGAGCACCCGGGCCACCTCCACGTGTCCCGCGCTGGCCGCCTCCATCAGAGGGGTGTGTCCGTTCTCATTGTGGTCCTCGATGTTGGCGCCCTCCTTCAGCAGCACCTTCACCACGTCCAGGAAGCCGCCCGCACACGCATACGTCAGCGCTGTGTTACCTGACAAGAACAAGGACAGAGTGTTAGTGTTTGTGGACATTCATAGCAGATCTATATAAATGCATGTGGTGGGAAAGTCTGAGACTGTGTCTGGATTGAGCGAATGTGACGTGTGTTTACCTGTGGAGGACTGTGCGTTGACGTCAGCCCCATGTACCAGGAGCAGTTTGACTATGTCTACGTAGCCTCCGCTGGCTGCTGCCATGAGGGGCGTGATGTCGCCCTTGATGCCCCGATCTTCAACGTTAGCGTGCATGGCCAGCAAGACCTGCAGCAGGACAGACAACATCAGTGCTTGCAACAGATACAACCACAAAGCCCCAGGTTGGCAGTAGACCATTTGATTTATCTGTTATCATCTGTTCTTTCGACCAATCGATTGGTTGACATTTTAAAACGTGTAATTTTACATATACAGTACCAGTCAAAAGTTTGGACACACCTACTCATTCCAGGGATTTTCTTTATTTTTACTATTTTCTACATTGTAGAATAACAGTGAAGACATCAAAACTATGAATAACACAGATGGAATCATGTTGTAACCAAAGAAAGTGTTAAACAAATCAAAATATATTTTATATTTGAGATTCTTCAAAGTAGCCACCCTTTGCCATGATGACAGCTTTGCACACTCTTGGCATTCTCTCAACCAGCTTCATGAGGTAGTCACCTGGAATGCATTTCAATTAACAGGTGTGCCATTTTAAAAGTTAATTTGTGGAATTGATTTCCTTCTTAATGCATTTGAGCCAATCAGTTGTGTTGTGACAAGGTAGGGGTGGGTATACAGAAGATAGCCCTTTTTGGTAAAAGACCAAGTCCATATTATGGCAAGAACAGCACAAATAAGCAAAGAGAAAGACAGTCCATCATTACTTTAAGACATGAATGTCAGTCAATACGGAACATTTCAAGAACTTTGAAAATGTCTTCAAGTGCCGTCGCAAAAACCATCAAGCGCTATGATGAAACTGGCTCTCATGAGGACCGCCACAGGAATGGAAGACTATGCTGCAGAGGATAAGTTCATTAGAGTTAACGGCACCTCAGATTGCAGCCTAAATAAATGCTTCACAGAGTTCAAGTAACAGACACATCTCAACATCAACTGTTCAGAGGACACTGTATGAATCTGGCCTTCATGGTCAAATGGCTGCCAAGAAACCACTACTAAAGGACACCAATAAGATGAAGAGACTTGCTTGGGCCTTTGAAACACAAGCAATGGACATTAGACCGTGGAAATCTGTCCTTTGGTCTGATGAGTCCAAATTTGAGATTTTTGGTTCCAACCGCCGTGTCTTTATGAGACGCAGAGTAGGTGAATGGATGATGTCCGCATGTGTGGTTCCTACCGTGAAGCATGGAGGTGGTGGTGTGATGGTGCTTTGCTGGTGACACTGTCGGTGATTTACTTAGAATTCAAGGCACACTTAACCAGCATGGCTACCACAGCATGGCTACCACAGCATTCTGCAGCGATACGCCATCCCATCTGGTTTGCGCTTAGTGGGACAATCATTTGTTTTTCAACAGGACAATGACCCAACACACCTCCAGGCTGTGTAAGGGCTATTTGACCAAGAAGGAGAGTGATGGAGTGCTGCATCAGATGACCTGGCCTCCACAATCACTCCGACCCAAACCCAATTGAGATGGTTTGGGATGAGTTGGACCGCAGAGTGAAGGAAAAGCAAAAACTGCCAATAGCCTAATGACCAAACAATCGAACAGTCGAATAATTGGGGTCAGCCCTAATTTGAATACAACTGTATTGGATTACAGAACTAGATGGAACCATGGATTAAAAGCAAGGCAGGACAATGCTAGCAGTATAATGTGAGTAATTAAAAATGCAAAGATGAGAAAGTGTGTGTCAGAGGAGCCTGGTTTGATGTTGATGATAATGTATTTTCTTGTATGCTGATTAAGCCAGATATTGTTGTTGTGGGGGAGGCCAGAGGGAGGTGCCGATTCTGGAAGTGGGCTGCTCATTCGACTGTTACACCGGAGCAGGCTTTTGCAGACAAGCTCCTCAAATACCAGCCTCTCACATCATGCCTACACAACCTGGGATACAGATGCAGGTTGGTGGCACTGATATTTGGCAGTCTCAGCCACGTACATAGGCTTACTGTACATGGTCTCCAGATTGCAGGCCTGCCTAAGACCACAGCAAGGCAGCTGGGCTAGGTACTGCTCTGTTTCGGCAATTACGGCCAGCCTAGCCGTGTGGTGGAGAAGGTGCTTTTTGTTCCCATGAGTCTCCTTGTGTCGACATCCCTTGAAATTGTTGAGTCCTTTGTCATGTAATGTGATTAGTAGATTCAATAAAGTATGTGTGTGGGTACTCTACCTGTGCGAGTTCATAGTATCCGGCGGAGCAGGCGAGGCAAAGCAGACTCTCTCCCTCCTCTGTGTGTTCATTGACGCTCCGCCCCTCATCCAGAAGCTTCCTCACGGCATTGACATCCCCGTCCGAGCAAGCCTCCGCCAAGCTACGGCTGAAAATAACCAGACTGCTACAATTACTGGGACTGTGGCTGCACAGGCCAAATCAACACCAGGTCCGAAAATAAGGTTACAGAGTGCTGTCACAATTCACACCTTCTCATACTCACTGAAGTTTAAAACAAAAAGGCCTCACTCGGGGCAGAGCTGTACATGCATTTCATGAACTGCATTTGGCCCAATATGGCGCCTTAAATCGTTTCAGTAAAACCGTATTAGTTTGATCGAATTTGTGAGAACAAGGCATCTTCTATGAATCATGTGAGCTATTCAGAGTATGAGCACAGTTATGTTATCATCATTGAAGGAATTGTCAGATGTTCATGAATAGGGGACAGGCTAACTTGAACAAAGCACAAAGGAAACGTCCTAGACAAGAACATCGTTCTACTGGTGTGAGAATATGGTGTGCTGCACCTGTGGGGTATGAGACTACTAGAGCAGAAGAGATACATACTTGTCTGCCTGGCTGGCGTTGAGTGTGTTTTCGGCCCTCATGCGTGTGAGAGCGGCCGCAGCCTCATCCAGCGCACAGCTCACGGATGACGTCAAGCGGCGTAGCACCTCTGGATCGGCGAAGGCTTTACCATCGGCAGTAGACAGTTTACCAATGCCTTCATAGGCACAGGGCCGTGCATCGAGGGTCACCAGCATTCACAGCACAGCGACCACAAAACGCATCCACGGTTAGTGCCAGGCCAAATAAAACACACAAGAAACAGACATAGTTCAGCCCATGTTCCAACCACGCAACATGTTCAAAGAGACGGTGCAAAGAGAACACATTTTGTCTATATTATCAAGTGTTGAACAGTGTTGAGGAAACATAATATCACCGTTTTTAAACCTAGAGGCGCAACATCGGGAGACTTGCGGGAACGCTCGCGAAAACAAACAAAGCAGATCAGGCCGGGGGTTGGGGTTATAGAAGTCAATGAGAGAAGTCAAGAATTCTTCCTTAGTTGTTAATTTTCTCAATCTAAAGGCACAACCTAGATTCAAGCCAATGTCTTAAGTATTTGAACATGTTATTACTCCAACCTTGTGAAAATGACAAACTGACCTTTTCATTCTCGTCAAAAACAACTTTATATCGAAGGTGTGCCTTTGATTTGACGGCCTGCATATCTGCAGTTCAGAGTGAGATGACCGTTAGACCCAATGACGTGTTTCTGCGCATGAGCTTAGCTCGCCAACATCGTAATGACATCGCCTACAAGTGTGATCTGGGATTTCTATTGGAGAAGTCATTTCTGATAATATCAATTGGGGAATCTGAACACATGACTAAGTATGTGCATAATATACACTGAATCAATGGAACAGAGCCTGGTGATCAGCCAACGTTGAGGCTTAAGAACAGAAGAATGAGCCCAATATTGCCTATGGTATGCAAAAACCACTGCACGTGCCACGTGGTTGGTCACACAGATGTGCAGCAGTTCAGACACGCACACCACACAGTACATAAATGTAATATGTATATACTGTATTCTATTCTACTGTATTTTAGTCTATGCCACTCCGACACTGCTCATCCTAACATTTATAATATTTATATATTCCTTAATTCCATTATTTTACTTTTAGGTTGTGTGTATTGTTGTGAATTGTTAGATATACTGCACTGTTGGAGCTAGGAACACAAGCAATTCACCACACCCGCAATAACATCTGCTAAACATGTGTATGTGACAAATAAAATTGTATTTTATTATTTCATTTTGATTTGAGAGGAACTGACAAAACACACAGGAACAAACAATCACTCAGACACATACACAGTCACACACAAAACACACAAAAGATAGACGGGAGGCTGAAACACGTACGGAAACAACAGTCTGCTAAAGGCTAGTGCTGAGTCATGATGGGAGCTGTTGTTGCTGTATGGAAATCCATTGTTCATGTTAATCTCCCCCGTGGTGCCCCAGCGAGCCTAGCTACCTCCCATCTCATCTCATGGGCTGGGCAAGCCTGTACCAGCTCGCCATGCACTGACTGGATGGCTGGATGGCTGGCTGGCTGGCTGGCTGGCTGGGGCCCGGCATGTCTGCACACCACACCATCCATCGCTTCATGCACATCGAATCAGACCCATTACCTTCTTTAATTGTTTCAGAAAGCAATGACTGTGGCTCTATACAGACAGTCCCCAAGGTTAAGTGCTTTGATGGGCTGGTTCAGTTTAGCTCAACTGAGGCCAGAGAGAGAGTTGTGGCCTGTCGGATTATTCGCTTGTGATACTTAGCCTGTGAGCACCCTGCAGTCAACTTTACTGATCACTGTAATTGATCATATCATTTTGAGTTTTTTCCCCCCCATAGACTGTCCAACACGGTGAACTACAGAAACCAAAAAACAACCGGAAGTAAAAATAAAACGCAGGGGTGCAGTGTAGCAGAGATTTGAGCATCTATTTTGAGCACTAGCGTTAGTTATGTAGGTATTTCTCCCTGGCAGTGTGCCAACTCTACACACCTACAGGGTCATGTCCCAACACAGTGGAAGGAACAGAAACATGAACACCAGACACAGGCCTGCTAACATCAGAAAGTATTTTTATGTACCAACTAAATTGCAGCAACATTTTAGGCTTAAATTGATACTATATTGGGCAGAGGTTCAAGCAGGTTTCAGCATTCAAACAATCAAAAAAGACCAGCAGTCCTATTCAATAATGAGAATATGACTGGGCAGCCTTACCATGTAACATTGTTGTAATTTAACATGATTTCAAATTCATAGTGGGCATGGCAGTAAGCCAAATATGGGCAGGTCTGAAAACAGGGGCATTCATAAAACTAGGTGAAGGGGTCCGATTATGGTGCTACTAAACAAGGGTTTCCGTTAACAAAATGTGGCACCGGACAACGTGATCGGAAGGATTTTAATTTGCTGGCCATTTGAGAAATGTACCGGACCCATATGCATTGGGTGTGTAACCCATTACGGCGTCCAACCACACGGCCCAATTTAATTCCACTACATTTTGAAAATGAACCTATAGACCGATAAGCATGACTGTCAAACGTATTTACATCGGCAGATATTTCCATCAATTAATAAAAAGCATTATTTTGCAAAGGGATTTTTTTTTCTCCCGGTCAATTTGGCCGGCAACAGTTTTATTTAAAATCGGCTTTTCTTTTTGGGGGGCCAAAAGTCATCAATTACCCTGTACTATACATACCGGCTGCTTCTAACAGAGCCTCCAGTCTGGCTTGTGTTTCTGGGTCCACTGTTCTGAGGTCAGCTCCTTCGGCAGCGCTGGACAGGAGCAGCTCCGACGCAGTCTTTAGCATGGGGTTGTCCAGGTCTTCCTGGTCTAATATGAAGGACTCCACCTAGAGACAAGGAGAAACACAAGAGATAGTCAAGACAGGACGCATTGCTGATGCTAATTTCACCCTATACAGTTGCTGGGAGAAACCCATCGCCTCAATTAAATAGTTTTTTATTACTACAATAGTGGTTCCTATCATACAGTACTGTAAATCTTATGACCACAGGAAATAAAATAAAAAAATACTTCTGCATATTCTGAGGAAGGTATGGGCAGGCCCATTTCATGATGACACAGGCAGGTATAGTCTAGTAATTGGCACGAGGGCACCAGTAAAAATAATCCCCAAGCTCCACCCCCTCAAGCACGTTGCCTGGAGACAGAGCTGCACAGTGCTTAGGACCTGAGCCTTGGTGGAATTACATTAACTGATCAGCGCGTTTCCCCTCCCCTCGCTGCGACCTTGACCTCCATATACCTGCCTTACGGCCGACAGGGCAGGACGTCCTGCACTGGACAGGACATCCAGCAGGCAGGCTCTGTCCATATGTCATTTCATGGTCTACAGGGGAGGGCGGAGCACAGCAGAGCAGAAGCGAGCCAATACATCCCAGCCATCACGGTCACCATCCAGGGACACAGCTGTGTGTTGGATCACGGGAATAGCAGTAGACTGAAAGCCGCTCATGAAGCACAATCTATTTACTAACACAAAACACAGACATACCCAATCGTACACTATCCTACAATGTTCTTTACAGACTGGACAACCGACAACTCCATAGCTGCATGATATCAACAAACGTCACTGGCGCAAAGGGACCAGAAAAGCAGAGGCTCTGCCAAAAGAACTGACCCAATGAACGGAACCGAGTCTGAGGGAGGGTATGGTCAGCAACTCTCCATTTCCATTTTTCTTTCACGAAAGTCTCTTTCAGAGAAAAATGATCAAACTGGTGAATATAATTGAAACCATACTGGGGTATATCTCACTGCCGAAGCTGTGCACAATCATGGAATTGTGGTGCTCTGTGCTTCAGCTCAGGGAAGCATCTGTCTCAGGGGTGTGTCTGAACAAGAGTACAAGACAAGAGGCCACGTCCAAAAAAGTGACTCATTACCTCGTCCATGCACGTCTGTCTGCGCGAGTGTGTGACAGAGACACTAATCAGGGAGAATTATCTTATATTACACTTAGTCTGCAAGGAAATTGAGGGTAATGGGTGCTGGTGAGGGGAAACTCAATCATAGGATGCTTAGTTAAATAGAAGACGATTAAATTGTCAAGAAACATGACATCATTGCTGCCAACAATCTGGCAAGTTTCCTTGGTCAAATCCCTCTTCTGCCAAAATATCCTGCACTTCTGAGAACTGCTCTCAGCCGGAGCACAATGAGGAAAAACAATGACATTCCACCACTAAACTCATGTTAGCTAAAGTTATTAATTACAATCATTTCCAAGATGTAAGAATAGTGAAAAAAGGTCTAAATGTTGACGTCATGCCCACACAATCAATCTATTGGGTAGACTGTTTTGCTAAATGCATAATGTTATGCTCTAGCATTAACCGGTACTTACTTATGCCATCTAATATCTGACATGCCACCATGTGAACCTTATAACAATGAAAACATCAACAAGTACAGTGCACTGTGGACAAGAAATTACCTGCGAGTCAGTGTCCACAAAAACATACACATAAATAACAAATGAGGGAATAACTTACGATAGCCTGAAGTGATAACCTACAGTTGTACACGGCACTAGTCCTTTCTGTAATTAAAACAGTTTCCTGTCCAATAGTTGTCGACCCCTGACCCTCAGCCACACACTGACTTTACAGTACAGCGCTGAGCTGCAACAGTACTCAAAGTAAGTAGCCTTGCACGAGCGGTGGCTTTTGCGACCCGGAGCATCTCATAGGAGCAGGAGCCTGACAAGAGCAGTAGCGGAGGTCAGTAGTTTTGGTCAGTTTCTGTAGCGCGAGTCAGCTTGATGTACAAGTACACCCCCTGGACAGGACAATAGTCTATCGCAGGGCCTTACCTCCAATCTATCTTGTTAATGCTGAGTGCCAAGCAGAGACGCATAGGGTCCCATTTTTATAGTCTTTGGTATGACTCGGCCAGGGATCGAAATCCCAACCTTCAAATATCAGGGTGGACACTAACCAGAAGGCCACTGACACGGTCCAGTACTCGAAGCTTCAATGCAAATGTGTGTACATGTGGGTCTACATTTTGGGAGCGTTAACTAACATTCACAGGGAATGAAAGACTAGAACATCCTGTGGTCAAGGAACCTTGAATTAACCCACTCAATGTGAAACAAACATCCTGTTCTCCAGTAACAACATCTGCCTTTACCCTCCAACACAAACCTCCAATGTGACTCTGTAAAATCATGAGTTCTTATTATAATTATTTTGGCAGGGTAAATGCTGGCTTTTGGCAGATTTTTTTTTAAAGCCGATAAATAACATTGCCGACCCCCCCCCCCCCCCCAAAGAAAATGCATTAAATAATAATTAAATTGCAAAATAATGCTTTTTTATTAATTGATGGAAATACCAGTCGATGTGCTCCAACTTCAAGGGGAAATAAACTTCACAGGCTAATAAATCGTCAAGCTGCTTGGAAATTACTCACGCATAAGACGCAAGGTCCTCATAAGGGACTTCAGCTAAGTGTACCCCTACTGGGCAGAAATTTTCTTCATGGCGTACAAGACACCTGGTGATTCGTGCCTGTCGTGGCCGTGGGGATGGCACAGTCCATCACTCTAAGACGTGCTACTAAAATTGTATGTAAGAAAAATGGTGCAACACTAATAGAAATTATATTATTTAATAACAAATGCGCTTTCTCCCGCGTTGGATAGTGGTCGCTGTCCGTTGTCCTGAAACATCAGTGCGTAGTTCAAGTGGCCCTTTTCCTAAATTTTTTACATTTTAGTCATTTAGCAGACGCTCTTCTTCAGAGCGACTTACAGTTAATGAGTGCATACATTTTTCATAGCGGCCCCCCGTGGGAATCGAACCCACATCCCTGGCGTTGCAAGTGCCATGCTCTACCAACTGAGCTACAGGAGGCCACATTAGACCATGTTGCTATAATAGCAAAGTTAAGCAGCATATTATGCTACTGCTATTCGCTGTTTATTATCTATGCATAGTCACTTTACCTCTACCTACATGTACAGTTGAAGTCGCTAGTTTACATACACTTAGGTTGGAGTTTTTAAAACTCTTTTCAACCACTCCACAAATTTCTTGTTAACAAACTATAGTTTTGGCAAGTCAGTTAGGACATCTACTTTGTGCATGACACAAGTAATTTTTCCAACAATTGTTTACAGACAAATTATTTCACTTATAATTCACTGTATCACAATTCCAGTGGGTTAGAAGTTTACATACACTAACTTGACTGTGCCTTTAAACAGCTTGGAAAATTCCAGAAAATTATGTCATGGCTTTAGAAGCTTCATAGGCTAATTGTCCCGTGTAGCTCAGTTGGTAGAGCATGGCGCTTGCAACGCCAGGGTTGTGGGTTCGATTCCCACGGGGGGGCAGTATGAAAATGTATGCACTCACTAACTGTAAGTCGCTCTGGATAAGAGCGTCTGCTAAATGACTAAAATGTAAAAATGTAATTGACATAATTTGAGTCAATTGGAGGTGTACCTGTGGATTTATTTCAAGGCCTACCTTCAAACTCAGTGCCTCTTTGGTTGACATCATGAGAAAATCAAAAGAAATCAGCCAAGACCTCAGAAAAAATATAGCAGACCTCCACAAATCTGGTTCATCCTTGGGAGCAATGGGAGAAAAAGGGGGTGCTTGCAAGCCAAAGAACACCATCCCAACCGTGAAGCACGGTGGTGGCAGCATCATGCTGTGGGGGTGCTTTGCTGCAGGAGGGACTGGTGCACTTCACAAAAATAGATGGCATCATGAGGAAGGAAAATTATGTGGATGTATTGAAGCAACATCTCAAGACATCAGTCAGGAAGTTAAAGCTTGGTCGCAAATGGGTCTTCCAAATGGACAATGACCCCAAGCATACTTCCAAAGTTGTGGCAAAATAGCTTAAGGACAACAAAGTCAAGGTATTGGAGTGGCCATCACAAAGCCCTGACCTCAATCCTATAGAACATTTGTGGGCAGAACTGAAAAGGTGTGTGCGAACATGGAGGCCTAATAACCTGACTCAGTTACACCAGCTCTGTCAGGAGGAATGGGCCAGAATTCACCCAACTTATTGTGGGATGCTTGTGGGAGGCTACCCGAAACGTTTGACCCATGTTATAGAATTGAAAGGCAATGCTACCAAATACTAAGTGAGTACATGTAAACTTCTGACCCACTGGGATTGTGATGAAATACATAAAAGCTGAAATAAATCACTCTCTCTACTATTATTCTGACATTTCACATTCTTAAAATAAAAGTGGTGATCCTAACTGACCTAGGACAGGGAATTTTTACTAGGACTAAATGTCAGGAATTGTGAAAAACTGAGTTTAAATGTATTTGGCTAAGGTGTATGTAAACTTCCGACTTCAACTGTACATATTACCTGGACTAACCTGTACCCTCGCACATAGACTCGGTATCGGTACCCCCTGTATATAGCATCGTTATTGTTCTTTTATTTAGTTACTTTTTATTTTTTTTAATGGTTAAGGGCTTGTAAGTAAGCATTTCACGGTAAGGTCTGAACCTGCTGTATTCGTGTAATGTGACAAATAACATTTGATTTGATTTATTGGTGTTGAGAACAATGTGGTGGCACCAGCAGCAGAGTTAGGAGATGAGAAACAGCCCTTGCCTTAATTGTCTAAGAAAAGTGAGGAGAGAGGAAAACAACTTAATTAGGTCTATAATCAATAGCCTAACTGTTAAATGTGCCTGGCTTTATAAAAATCATCATCATACAGTATATCTACAGAAATAAGACAGATCCTGCTTCTGTTGCCTGTTTGAGTGTTTGTTTAATAGCCTACTGATTCCGGGAGCACCAAGCCTCACGCAACCACAACATGTCGGATAAACAATTTCACAAATTCGTAAGTTTTTTATCTTTGCTACGCTGTAATAAAGGCTTTACACTTTTTTCGTTAGAACAGCCTCTCTGGAATTATTTATAATTGATTTAGTGTTACACTGTTCCAAATGGTCCATTTATTTTTATTTATAATAATAACCCTCCTTTTTCTTGATCTCCTTATTGTTATCATTCCTACTATTATGATCATTAGAATAATAAGTAATGTATTTATCATTAGTAGGCTTAGTATAGCAGCCTTGTATAACCACCATCGACCTGTAGGCCTAAGAGCACATCCTGTTTAGTCTTAATACCATAACTTACTTAGGCCTATATTTCAATACTTACAGTGCATTCAGTATTCAGACCCCTTGACTTTTTCCACATTTTCTTACGTGACAGCCTTATTCTAAAATGGATTAAATAAAATAAAAATCCTCAATCTACACACAATACCCCATAATGACAAAGTGACAACATGTTGTTAGAAAT